CCTGGATAAAAAATATAGCCACGCATATAATGGATGGAGAAAAATAAAGTTATTAGAGACATAAAATCAAGAGAAACTAAAACAAAAATTACGCATTTAAAACCTTAGAGAAGTGAGTAAAAAATATCTTAATGGAGGGTACAAACAAGCTAAAGCAAGATCCCACAAAGCCTCGCAGCAATCCAAAGATGGACAAGGCTATACATCAAGAAAAATAATTTAGCTACCACCCTAAGAGATTAGAAAATAAGCGGACCTGGAAAGATTTAATGATAAATGATAGTAAATTGGAGGAAAATATTCTCTGTGTATTATGTAATTCATTTAAAGCAAAGTGTATATATTTAGTGGATAACTCTGTAGGATGAAGGATTGCAATCAAAGGACGATGCAACAAATGGTTCTGCGAATTTTCCGTCACTAATAAGTGCAGCTATAGATATAGATAAAATTGAAGAGCAGTCTTTGGAGGAAGTTGCATTTGGTAGAAAAGTGCATGATGAAGAGAATCGTTGATTGATCTCACCGAAAATTGATTGCTGATCCCGGTTGGTCTGCAGCCGTTTGGCTTTAGTACGATCCGCAGGTTGGCGCAGGGAAAACATATCAAGGAGTTCGTCAATCTGAACGTCATATTAAAGCTTATAGCTGCAGAACAAACGAAATCAGCCGTCATCTTCCAGGTAGGTCAACCAACGAATCTCTTTGCGAAACACTTTCGTAAGAAATGAAAGTCTCCCAGACAAGGATATCTTAAGAGATTCATCAAAACCCAGTTATTCTTTATATCTAGAATAGCGAAGCCATCGAAATAAACTGAATAGGAAATACATTGAATGTAAGGAATACCTACGAAGAAAAGTTTGGTTTCGAGGAATCTCTTGTTTCAACAACAAGTAAAGAATACCGACAAGAAGATAAGTAAAAATTACTTGTGCTTAATTAATAGACCCAAGGATAGAGGGAATTGAGCTGCCTGAAAAAAAGAGGTGAGCAACTAGTCTTTTCTCGACATTCTTCTAATTATGGTCACTTATCTGTACTTTTAGCTCTCTTGCTTTCTCGCATTAAGACCAAAAACAAAAAATAGGCTCATCAACAAAACCAGTCGTGTGTACGACCTTGCGCAATCAGAGTGTTGGTTATAACATGTATGTAGAAAGGGGAAGATAGTGGTCATCAAACCTTGATGGTCGAGAACAGCCGTTACTTTTGCTGTCCTAATTACTTTGAGCCATCACTGCGGGTTTCGTGCATAAGCGAACACAAATAGGCACATACACATACAGAGACAGACACACTCGCAGGCTTCGAGTTTGACATATGACCGTGACTAACCAAATCATTTTATACCTGATCAAAGAGACCATATACCGCTTTTTAGGGATTTTCCGGTTAGCTTGAATTTGGTTGTGACGATGATATCTTGTTCTGATGATGTCCGTAAAGCCGATCGACAGCTGGTCAAGAATCCACCGTCGTCTTCTGGTAGAATCCATTTTTGAATTTTTTCACCAAACACTTTCACTCGAAATTGAAGTAAGCACAACAATTAGTACGATCCCCAAGTTGACGCAGGGAAAACATATCAAGGACAGCGTCAACCTGAACGTTGTATTAAAGAAAATAGCTGCAGAACAAACGAAATCAGCCGTCACCTTCCAGGAAAGTCAACCAACGAATCTTTTTTCGAAATACTTTCGTAAGAAATGAAAGTCTCCCAAACAAGGCTATCTTAAGAGATTCATCGGAACCCAGTTAGTCTTTATATCTGGAACAGACTTGATAAATTGAAAAATAGCGTCCTCATTCACCTGCCATATTTATTCCCTCTAAAGCTGCCAAGCAGGTTTAACTGGATATAATGGCAAAAATTATCAAAACTTGAGATAATAAAAAATTACTTTTTTATGGAACTTAAAGCCTCTTAGATATTAGCACAATTAATAAGTTGCTTTGACAGGTTACACGATGGCAGCACAAGGATTCTGGTAGAGTGGACTAACTTATCTAGCCTCAAATATGTATTTCCCTCCATCATATTTGACAATGTTCTAAAATAATTGTCAACTAGTCCTCCCAGATAATTACTCTCAGCTAGAATTCTCTTTAGTCTTCTCAATTCCTGGTCCAGATGTTTGACATATGCCAGACGCAGGCTCCTTATTATCATATGCATCATTACTTCTACCTTAACCCCATAAGTGTAATTGAAAAAATAAATTAGAAAGTAAACATGGGTTTGTGGGTTTTCAATACACATATCTACCTAATCTGGTCCCTTCTCTAACTTGATGGTGAATTTCGTCTTTCCATCTATCCTGATCATCAATCCAAAAAAATTCTGCAGGTCTCATTAGCTATGATACCAAACGGTAAAGGAGTTGTATATATATAGAACTAATAATTTAAGTTAGGAGACCTTCATTTCGTATGAAAGTATCTATAATACTTTAGGGACTAAAAGTGCATCTTGATTTAGGCGTTACTCAACATCAGCCCAATAAATCGTGATGTTTTACGCATTACGCTCGAATTTGATTCAGACTCTCAAATCCCACTTATTTTAAGAGTAATGCATTCACGCAGGCTGAGTGCAAAGGAACGCAATCGTATGCAGCAGCATTGCAGGACCAAAGGTATACGAATTTTAGGGGAGGATGCAGCAGTCCAGTCACAATTACGTTTGTTTCACGTTTCATCCGCAGCCCCTTAACTTTTATTTTCAGCAAACATATATGCAAATATGTGAAAAGAAGCTGGGTTTCGAATAATCCCTTAATATAAGATATTAAGACCAAGATGGTGTGGCCTTTTGTGTGGTCGCAGTCTCCTTTCGTTGTAGAGGTTGTTTGACCTTGTTGAGCACACCACACATCTAAATAGGCATGGTAAAAATTTTAACAGTAAAGGCGTAATAGGAGGATGTAAGAAATGTGAATTGCCTAGGGCAGAAGTGGAGGGACCACCACTGTTTAGCACAAGTTTGTCAAATGACCGGCTTCACTTGTCTCTTTGACGAGTTGTTGTGTGATGCTAAGAATGACGATATTCACTGACGATGCCGGCAAAACGTCTGGGAATGTACCACGTCCACGATCTGACTTTGAAAATGGTCATGCATACAATGGACTCCGAACTAGGTGCGTTCCTCTAAGTCTTCCTACCAATATGACCAAGTTGCGAAAATAAGGTCAAACAACCTTTAATCATTTAATAGATTAATGCTGGCATATCTTTCATTTTGTTTGAGAAGGCAGGTCGAAGGGATTCGTAGATTGGCCTCACCGGATATCGCAAGAGGATGGCCTTGGACTTTTATCTGTTGAATCATGCGAAGAAGACCTCGGCTCACCGTCTTATGACCCCGATGACTCCGTGCTGAGCTTTCGTTCGTGCCATGACGGATGGTTTCTGGTACTGACGATGACCGCCACACGACGGACGAAAGCTCCGTACGGAGTCATCGGGGTCGTAAGATGGTGAGCCGAAGTCTTCTTCACCCGATTCAACATACAAAAGTCCAAGACAATCCTCTTGCAATATCCGGTGAGCCTAATCTACAAATCCCCTCAACCCGCTTTCTTAAACAAAATAAAAAGGTATGCCAGTACCAATTTAGGCAAAGCATAATATATTCAACCAAGTCATGAAATGTCTCATCGAGTGGTAAAGGTTAGGCTATAAGTAGGCAGGTTTGCATTCGAGCACATTACGTCTTCGTGTTTTGATGAATTATCCTAAAACACAGTGTCCCACTTTGACGATGTCTGTCACATGACGGACGAAAAGTTAACAAAGATTACTCCGGATTGCAGGATGGTGGGCCGAGGACTTATTCGCACAAATATTCAGTCATAGCTCTGTGACAATCCCCCTAGGGCTTCCAGTGAAGCTTGCTTACGACTCCTTCCATTCACCTATTCAAACGAAAAGAAAAGCTATCCGAAAGACAACACTATCTTCAATTTCCATCAGATGTATAGTTAGTGAATGGCCGTGACTTTTGAGGAGAAAATCTCGAAAAATTATGTAACAAAAGTATTTACGCTCTTGAGATCTTCTCGAACTCGATCCGGATTTGCCGCGAACAAAAAGCCAAGTCGCCACTATCGATTCGAACCCCTATCGCCTTATGCCCATGTTCATGGAGAGCCATAGCGACAGCGCAGAAATTGGGCAGGCCAGATCTGCATAAAAGGATAGGTGGAAAAAGA